ATAAAATAGCTCAGATCGGTCAAACTGACCACTGTGCGTCGGCGACCTCGCGGCGCATCCGCGCGTCGCGGGGCGTCTCTCGTCTCCGAAAATCCGAAATGCCGGGGGTCACTTCCGCGTTTCGTACCTCTCGCAAGTTTTTCAAATCAATGCTGTTTGTTCGCCTCGAAATTCAATATTTTTCATCCGCGATGAGCAACTTGTTTTTCGCTCCTTTTTTTATTTATTTATTTATTTTTCGACCGGTTTTCATTTCCAGTTCTCTGACGTCGACGCCGCGCGTCGCGTCGCGTCGCGTCGCGTCGAAACGCGGCGGCGATCCGTTCTCTAATGACGCCCGCTGGATGCGTACGTCGGACGCACATGTCGGCCGTTCCCCGTAACCGGACGCCCTTGTACCGTCGCCGCGGCGCTAATTCACCGGCGTGTATTAGAGCACATGAATAGAGATGCTCATTTGATGAAACGCGCGCGCGAGCGCGCAGGATGATATCTGCATTATTCCGCGATAATGAGCGGCGGGAAAGGCCGGCCGATCGCGGATTCTGTGGCGGAAAAAGGGTACGACTTTCAGCGCGCTGGCAATAATAACGGACTCGCGTGGACGCGCGGGGGGCGTAGCGGCACGAAATTGGCCCGGATCGCGATACATTGAAGTCGCGCCGTGATTCGGCGCGATTTCCTTGCGCCTTGTCATCAGAAATTTCCCTTCGTACTCTCCTCGAGCGCGTATCTCTGGCCCCTTTCGCGCGGGGAAAGGTTTCCCCCCGTTTGAAGTGGAGACTGCAATTTTTATCGCGACGTTAGCCTCGCGAATCCGCTTCTGTCTCGTTTCGTTCGTGGCTTTCGAATGCCATTGAAATGACGTTACGAAAACGAAATATGTCATAAAATTCATAAAACGTGCGGTGAGCGGAATATCTGTTAATTGAAAATTAAAACTCCTTAACCGTAGAAATATGATGTAACATATTATATTTATAAATTCTCTCGAATAAAAGTCTTAGAGTACGAAGTAGCTATTCAGGCCAATTATGCCCGGTTTCACCAACGTTGTTGTAACTGTGAGCTTAGCTTAATTCGTTCTCTGTCTCTTTCCAACTGTTACTTTAGAAAGAGGCAAACGTGAATTAAACCAAGATTAAAGTTAAGCGGCGTTTGGTGAAACCGGACCTTAAAGAATGAAAAATTAGATGAAAGATTTTCACGACGTCTCGGAAAGTGTTTCGCGAACCTTTGAGGGTGGCGGGGCAACTCAAACAAGTCGAGTTGACCTTAATAATAAAAAATAATAAATTAATGCAGAACATAATTGCAGTGCCATAGCTCAAAAAGCCCCTCCCTGCCCCACGTTATAAAATTAATGCTCGTAATGTCACGCAACGGGTAATTACCTAATGCTGTAACAGAGAACGTGTTACAACCGAGCTGCTCGCGGCAGCTTCTTCGAGTGTGGAGGAAAGTCCTCTATTACGAGATAGGATTCTAATATGAGATAGTAGATTTTCGACGTCCAAATTCAATCGCAAATCTTTTTCCGCTACGATTACACGACCTAACGATCAATTTTCCACTAAACAGATTTCACTCCAAGGACAATAAACGAGGGGGAAACCGCTGACCAATGTCTCGTACACCAATGCTCACTAATGCCCAGTGGGCATTACCTTATCTTATTATCTTACTTTATTTTATTTAGCTTTATAATTTTTTTTAGGCCCCAGCAAGGCCTAATGTCCAAACTAATGCCCAAAAAATGCCTAGTAATGCCGCAAATCTGTACACCACAATGCCATCAGCGGTTTCCCCCTCGACAATAAATTCATGGTGGAGCCAACAGACGATGCCTATTAATTTAGCAGAAACTCCGTTATCTCGTATTAGGAGCCTGTCTCATAATAGGAGACTTGCCTCTACTACTCCAGATGAATTCCGGAGGCGGGGAGATAGTTATTCCAATCAATGCCGCGTGACGAAGGCGTGTGCTATCGCGTGTCGCAACGAGAGAACGATTAAGGTACGCGCGTATAAACGGCGAGAAAGAGGGAGAGAGAGAAAAATCCACGTGCGATTCGCTGGTTTATTTCCTTGCCGGAGAGTATCCGTTCATTGTTCGCGGCGATGCTGCTCCTGCGTCGCGCCGGGGAGTAGAGGGGCTTTGCGTGTTTACACGGGCGCACCATCGCCGTCGGGTCTGAGAGCGCGAGCGGCCGCGGAATCGGGTGCATTCGCGGAACGTGGTCTTGCGGATAACAAAGCTCTCGAACCTGCCCCTCCCCTCACCCCCTGCCGGTGAGAGCCGCTCGCGTATGCTGAAGTGCAGCCCGCTCGCCGCAACGTCGAGGTGTTTAGCGTAAGTTGAATAACGCTTTGCGCGTCGCGCAATTGGGAAAGTCAATCTTTCGTTGTTTTTTTTTCATTGGCAGAACTGGTGCGCGCCGAGCGCGCACTAAGCCTTGTGCATAGACAATTCTTATATTTAAGGATCGCCTTAAATACACGGAGGGAATTTTCTCGTAAAACGCATGTTGGTTTGCAGTTCGGTTACTTGATAAGGACCTGATACCTGGGTCGAAACGTCGTACCAAATGTAACATTTAACTAATATATTGCCAGTTGGAGCAACAAGAAGTTTTATTTCAATTTTATTCGTCACTGGTGACTTTAAGTATACTCCTCTACTGGTTTCTCATAAAACTTATCCTGAAAATCATACACTACGCGGGACAACACGGCATTTCGAAGGAGTTTATGAGAGTTTTTTCGGAGTTTTACCTTATATTTTACTAGTAAAGTTTCAGAAAACTCTCATAAAGTCCTTCGAAATGCCATGTTGTCCCACGATTACACGATTTTCGGGGTAAATTTTAAGAGGACACTCTCTCCCCGCGTACCCTTCCAAGTACTTCTTAGCCAGTAAAATAATCCATGCAGCATTCGTACGAATCATTTTTTTGACTAGACAGTTTTTGAACATGTAGTTAAAATGACCTGAAATATAAAAATTGACTGTGAACAAGCCCAGAATGGCTGTCTTGTACTCTTAAGATAATGTTTTATGTTTTAAATCTGTGTCTTAAAGTAACGCACAATAACTGTCTTCTGTCTTAGGAGTACAAGACAATCATTCTGCTCAGGCCCTTAGCGCGCACTCGGTGCACACCAGATCTGCCAATGAAAAACGCTATTTGAGAAGTCAATCCTTTTTCGCAAATCGACATGACTTTTTCCGGGCGGCGCGGCGCGATCTCTCGCGGACGCGACGGTGTTTGCCTTGTAAAAATATGTGTAATGACAAGTGCGTAATTTTGTTGAAGATTCAACGTTGAGGAGTGTAATTTTTGGAAAATCGTACAGTTTGTTACGTTACGACGAACGCTCTTGCGCGCATTTGAATACTTTAATGCGGCGCTGGCTACTTTGGTTTCACGACTGACAAAATGCGCGAGGGGAGGTATTAAATTAATGATATTTTTATATTCCAACGCGTTGAAAAGCGCTACGACGTGCGTTTCACGTGCGCGGGCAGGTCGTTGAATAATTTAATCAGGACGGGTTTTATTGCTGCGCCGCGCGCGCCACAGATTTTACGCGATGATAAAAGTGTACCGCGTAAGTGTATAACGTGCCGTGGAAATCGCAACAATGTGCCGCACCGTGAATGCGAGGCTTGGGAAATATTTAGATCCTTTAGATCGAACGAGACATTTCGACGATTCGGTCGCTCGATCCCTTCGTGCCGAGAGATCGATCGTACGTAATTAACATTACGTCGTAAAAGCGCATCGCAATCTACAGCGAGGTCCATTTTCTTGATTCGTCTCGCGACCGTTGTCTTTGGAAGATCCGCTGCTGCAGTTTTCGCGCACAACGGGGCCTGGCTCGCATTCTGTTCGGCGTCTCTCCCGAGAAGAAAATGGCAAACCCACCTCGTACGAAACGCCGTTTAGATAAGCACTTTCTAATACACGCATCGAAAGTTTTGCTCTTGCACAAGCGATAAGCGAGCCAGCGCGACCTCCACCAGTTCAAACATTCCCGTTAATGATGTGTATGCTTGTGTGTATGGTGTGTGAGAGCCTACTGCAATTCCCAGTCCTTTTTAAGCGCGTTGCATTGTATACACGAGGTACTTGATACATATCGTAATTATGCGCGATAAAGGAGATTACAATATCTCTGACTCGAAGATAGGCTAAAACCCTGGTTTTACCAAAGGTGTTGACGCGTACGTTTTTCACGTTTTATCAACTAATTCATAATTCTTTACACCTCTCTCTTCCGCCTACGTTCGAGTGTAAAGAGTCGGCGCGAGACGGCAGTATTTAAGCGCGGTTAAGTCCCAGTCTACAATGGATGATTTAAGCCCGAAGCCTTAAGAAATTGACCAATCACGGTCGTGTACGAATACGCGACTGTGATCAGTCACTTTCTTAAGGCTTAGGGTTTAAATCTCTATTGTAGATGGACACTTATCGATACAGTACAAGTCCAATCCGCGTTTTGGCCGCGCGAGTTGCGTCGCGCAAATAAAGAGAGGAGAGCGGAGAAGAAAAAATAGGTAGAAAAATGACACAGGCTGGCGCGTGGTTTCTGGAATGTTTTTACGTAGCGTCGGTTAAGTTCATACTATAACGGACGCAAAACGCAAGAGATTGGCCAATGACAGTTGATCATTCCTCTCATATTTGACTGTGATTGGTCGATTTCTTGCCTGGCGTCTTGCGCCCATTGTAGAAAACTTTAGACAGTCACGCGCCGGCCGTAACGGTCCACCTCGGCATAGTTTTGCATCTTCTCCCACCTCCATTTCAATTTTTCGAATGCATCGTTACGCTGATTACCGCGTGTCGTTTCTTCCCGTCGACGCGGACAACCCGTGATTTGCCCCTCCCATCGCGCGGGAATACACGCGTCGAAAGTTCCGCTCGGCGCGCCGCGTAACACGGCGGGATAGAGAAAGAGCGATTTTCCTTAACTCATTTTTTGCTCCAAAACAGAATAGAAAGCAAACACGAGGTGACGATTCTAGGAGGGCTAAACGAATTCTCCGTTAAGTTCTACGGGCCACGAGGGAGTAAGTACCTTCTCGTTTTCATGTTAATTGTAAGCGAGAAATGCGTGCAACACGGAACTAAATTCTATTCCAATTTTCCACCACCGCCACGTTACAATGTAATCTCAATGTTCCGTGTTGCACTGCAGTTCTATTATTTTGCGATAAGTTCACTTCTAGTAGTCGGTACGCAATCTTTCGGCATTCTCATCCGTCAGCGTTATAATCTTTTTCGCAATCGTACAATAATTACAACTGTGCAAAAAAAGAATTAAGAGAGCGCGTTAAAAATCCAGTTTGCTAACGTTTCCGATTTTGTGTTTTGAAGCGGGGCAAAAGATTCGATCTGGCTCGACAATAATGTTCGGTGCAATTATGATGATTTTTTTCATCATATAATAATTAGAACCGTGCAAAAAAATGAAGAGAGCGCGTTAAAAATCCAGTTTGCTAACGTTTCCGATTTCGTCGGGCAATTTTGTGTTTTGAAGCAGGGCAAAAGATTCGATCTGACTCGACAATAATGTTCGGTGCAATTATGACGATTTTTATCACTGCCATTTTCTATGACATTGGACGTTAATGCACTGCAACGGGCGTCCTTCGACTTGTGTCACGCTCAATTTCATAGTTTCTTGCGTATCACCTTGGACTATTATTTTATTATCACACAATAAAATTAAGGCATATACGAAAGGATACGTGTATAATCCAAATCTTTACATTGCGAATCAATACCTTGACGAATCTTGCGTCTGGCAAAATGTAGTTCGCTCAATCCGCACGCCTTGCTTATTAAACGCTGCAATTTATCACGAGCGAGAAGCTTGAAAGTTTCATTGCCTGCCACCGTGGGATGGAATACAATTAATATACGAGCGGCGAGCGTCCGATACGTTTTCACTTCGCGATATGCCAAGGTCCGCGCGCATCTCCCAGAAGCGGAAACACTTGCGCAACCGTTTCGTACTTGCGATTCTCTCGCGGTTTGCCGCGGACATGCGTGCGAAGCGTGTTATCGATTGGCACAGCCGGCGCGTAAGAAAGTTCCTTGACTCCCCGCTGACGAAAGAGATGCATTCAACTGTCCCTAAGAAACGCTTTCAAGCAGATCGCGCCGAAGATACGGCTCGTTAATGACGCCGTCTATCCGCTCGCCGCGGATAACGCGCGCAGGTTGCAGACCTGTTTCGCGGATAGGATTATCCCCGCGGAAGATTCGAACGCGCCTCATCGTTGGGGGCAATCTATGTAATACCGACTTCTTACCCTTTGATTTAAGTCGTGACCGTGAGGCAGTCATCGTAAAACGGGATGATTAATCTCGAAGTGGGATTGTTGTTTGAGAATGAATCGCGATTTCGTCTTGCTGGACGAAACAGATTCGCGGAGCCGTCAATTTATCGTGCCTTTGGCAGACTTCGAACGAGAGATTCTATAACCGCGTAATGGATTTCGCTTTTCCGCGCGCGGCGGAGGAAAGCGAGTCGAACGAAAGTTTCTTGAATCTCCGAATCGCGATTCCACCGGTAAACGAGTTGAAATCGCGCGACTACCGTCGTTCGTGGCGCTTTAAATTAAATCGCGTTTCAGATAGGTTCCTTTGAAACGGCGCAGCTGCATCCGAGTATAACTTCATTTGCTTAAGACCAGACCCCGGGACTTACTCTGACGAGATAGGCTATACTTGCGGGTGGAACAGTCCGCATAGTAATCTCCGTCTGGATTGCCCGAGCGAATTGTACCAACGTGATATTCAACGCGATCGGATCCGATGCCATTTGCGTTACGTATCCCTAAAGTTCGCGTAACACGCGCCAAGTGGGAAATAATTGTCGAATAGGAAACGAGAACGCCAAATCAATTTTTAATCTGACGTAACTCAATGATTTTTAATCTAATGTGTGAATTTATATTCTGCATCTTGCTCGGGCCTAAAAATTTATTTGGCGTTCTCGTTTCCTTCGCATCCTGGCCTAGTCCTAGCCCGTTATTTTTCTCGCCGAAAATTAATAAGCGTCTTAGTGCCTATACTTCCCCGAAGATACACCCCTATTTATTACTCTACGGAGCTCTATGATTTTTTATCTAATACGTGAATTCATATTAGATTAAGAATTATTGGGCTGCCTACATTTTGCTCGGGCCTCTAAAAAGTGATTTGGCGTTCTCGTTTCCTACTCGATTTGTACACTGAGAAAAATTTTCATCGGCTAAACCAATTAAATAGTATGTCCGATGGTTAATTTTTCCGATTAAATTATGGATATATCCGATGAAATTTATCCGATGAAATGCAATTACCGATGAAATTTCATTGAAAAACCGATCAAATTTTTCATCGGATATACAATTTAATCGGATATATCCGTTTGTTATCATGTAATTGGATTATCCGATTATATTTAATCGGACATTTTTCTCAGTGTAATGGTCCTGATTTAAATTGATTTGGAAATAATTATAATAACATACTTTCAATTAAAATTACATCGTGCGTACAAGAAGTTGATTTATTAACGTTGTTTACTCTATTTATTGTGCTACTAAAATTGCTATTAAATTTGCACGTAGATAAATAAAAAATGCGTATTTTTAGTGTCCACTTGGAAGGATTCCTACTTTCCTTCTTTATGGAAGGAAAGGGAGGAATGTAGACTATTTTCTTTATCCATTAATAAAATTTGCTGTTAACTTTCCATGTAGACAGGTAGAAAAATGTGTCTCTTAACGTTCGTCCAGAAGAACTCCTGGTTCTTTGTGGAGGGAAAGAAGGAATGTGCAAAGAGCTAAGCAACGATAAAACGTTAATCCGCTCTCACGATTTGCGTCCACTATTGATCGACGTCCGCAAATTGTAAGGCTTGTAATTGATTAAAAGGAGCTTACTTGGCAATTCGCCGGGATCGACGGGTGTTAATACGACGCCGATAATGCCGACTATATCCGATTATTTTGTCTCTCGTGATCGATCGCCACAATTTTATATAACGCGCGCGCATCAGCTATGCCTGTTTTTTTTGTCTCTATGCACCCGCGTACGGCTTCGTTTGTCCGGCTCGTCTTTGAGTTAGCATCATCGAACTACCCTCGGAACGATGTAAATCAGATCGTGTTTCAGATAACCCGGCAAACGATGCAGCCGCGCGCGCGTGCGAGAGAGAGAGAGTTTACACGCGTTTATTTTCCAGTCGTGTAGTTGACAAAAAGCGTCGCTATTCACATGTATCGTCCGTCATATAAAACTATTTTAATTGCAAGAAAATGAAAAGGGACAGAAGATTGCGGTCGTATAATAACCATCGAAAAGTCTCTTAAACGCTAATTGAGCGTGGCATTACATAACGTCGCGAAGATTCGAAATTTTGAATTACGACATCGAATAATTACCTTGCATTGTGCTCGCGTGAGACATGAAAAGAATAATCGGTCCCTCGGATTTTCCTGCTTGTTTTAGTTAGTTCAGCTTGGATTCTGGAGGCGTAGGAAATGAGTATTTAAAAAAAAGAACAGGCAAAGCGCTCTTTTTTATTACAACGAGAACTTATGTAAGCTCACGCTAATGAAAGAACTTTTTGAACTATTCTCGTAACGTTTTAAAGCAGATCATCCCGCAGCTAATTATTTTCAGCTACATTAGCGTGTGCTTGCGAAATTATTTCAGCTCTAACAATTTTTGGCGTTAACTGCACTCTGCGTTTCAGTAGAAACGTAATCCCCCAGGTTAAACGTGCACAAATCCTGAGATTAAGTCGAATCTTGCAATTGGATTTAATGTTAAATACGCGAGGTGATAAAATCGGGCCGATTGCCAATGATCAATTCGTTCGTTTAACTGCTACGGAATCGACATAGAACGTTCTCCGAATTTTGTATGGGGGAGGATATAGAACATTAATTCCTTTACCCCGAAATTGCAGACTAACGTTGGTTATCCTCGTCTCATATTAGCGAATCGATAACGCGCTTAAAGGGGACTTTGCAATCTAATTACCTTACCCGGCATACGTTGTAATTACGCGATATCATTTACATCCACACACAAGTTACTTTATATATTTGATATAACTATTTGCGGAACGGAATTACTTTACATTTCGTAACTCGTTACATAACTCACCGCATTAATCCGCACGAGTCAGCGAGCACGAGTCTCCCGCGACTTTATTAATTGCCGGTGAGATAGTTATCAAGTTCCGATCGTGTCGCTTCGGTGGACTATGGCGCTCGAACGCGAATTAAATCCCAATTACATATCGGATATTCACGCTCCGCTCGCGCGAGCGAGCGCTGAAAATGGATTCGGTAAACGCGCGAACCCGCGCGGCCCGGGATGTCGATGGCGAACAAAGGCCTTCGGCCGCGGCGGTTCCTCGATCGCGTCCAAGTGCGGCGCAGGCTGCAAGCTGTTCGTTGAAAGCCGCGCATTAGCTTGCGGCTGTATTTTCTCTCGCCGAAACAATCGGGACTTAGCAAACGCGAGCAGGGAATATTCCAACTGATCGAGTGGTCTATACATATATTATCCAAGGAACAATGCTGCGCCGTTCGACAAAATCTCATCTTTGCGCTACTTTATAGCGCTTTCGACTGGACCAGGATTAATCGCTCCGGGAGCGCTAAAACCCATGTCAGTTTCGGTCAGTCGAAAACGCTGTTAGTCAAATTTAATTTTGAAATCATTTTCACGTGTACACCCAGAAAAAGTATTCGAACAAGTGAGATACGTTGAAGTCATGTTTTTTTGAATCTACTAAATTTTTTTTAGTCTGTTACTAACGTTCGTCTGTTCATGACACGACTCTCGAGACAAACTCCGTTTCAACAATCGACCATGAGTTTTATAAAATTGACTGCGGTAACTTTTTCGTTAAATGCGGCCACATCTTACGTGATACATCATGTTCCCGCTACTAATTAATATGATTCTATCTAAGTTTACTTGAGAAGGGCTCGAAACGGAGCCGAAACGCTGTAAATAAATAAATATATTGCCAGTTTGGTTGACGTACATCAAAGTA